GTGTGTGTGTGTGTGTGTGTATATATATATATATATATATATATATATATATATATACACACACATACACACACACAGTATATTTAGGTGTAAAGACCATCTGATATATATTTTTAGCAGAATTTGGGACTACACTAGTACAGTATAAATGTATTACCTACATTTACCTACATATGTTTTTACTAAAACATTCAAATACAAGAAAAATAAAGCTTTTGAATCTGATTCAGTGAAACACAAATTTTGAACGGAGTAACGGAAATTAATTGAATTTACCAATTCTATTGCCATTTTGCTATTGAAGTTTAAGTCAGTGATTAAGTAAAAACTAATTAAAAATTCTGAAGGCTCATACTTAAAAATAGTGAGACATGGATCACAAAACTAATTTTCCAGAAACTTAATGGCTAAATAAAAAGTGCATTTAAATCATTGTTTTATTCACAGTGGTTTTATTTTGTATCACCAGCAAAATATATCTTGTTTTATATTCAACATATTGCTCAGACACACTATATGTCTGATAATTGTGCAATAAAAGGGCCTATTTAGACTATCACGACTCCGTAAACACAAATACCTCTCTTGGACCAAGTGAGATTTTTTTGATTCGAACACCAAAAATGGGTTGACTGTGGACAAATTTCTCAGAGGACAACTCTGTTCAACTCCCAGCAGAAAATACAGATGAAGCCCTTTCTATAACCGTAAAGTCGTGTATTACAGACCTCTGCCTTGTGCTGAAGATGCTTCAGCTTGTGCACACAGGAAAAACAAAGCGCTTCTCTAACACCGCTGGAGAAAAGGCCCATTGATTGACTGTAAATGTCAAAGCTGTTGGCACAATGCATGGCTTCAGCAGGAGCTCAGATTCTGATGTGACTCTCTGCATGCGGTCACATCACCACAATGTACAGTATTGTGATGAACCTTTATAGTAAATCACATTGTTCACATACTGAATCTATGAGGAGGGTTTTTTTTCACTCCATGATAAACAAACAACTAAAGACAGAAGAAATGAGTATTGACATCCATTTTTGTTTTATATAGACCCAAAGCAGAGCATGCTTTTCTGATAACTTTTCATTTTAAGTATGAGGAACATCTTTTCTGTTCATGCCTGCTATCATTTATTAAAGGAGTGATGTGTAACAGCTTTGGCCCTGTGAGCTCACTATCCTGCTTTTGCTCTTCTCCATATTAACACTGAATGTTCATTTGTCTGGTGTGCTGCATCTTTCCTTTGTTGCATGTGGAGGATGTCACTAAAAATAAAAACAGCAGAATGCATGGCCATAAACAAAGATGCATCGAGTGAAAGTTTCCTAATGGCTGAGTGCAAAATGAAGGATCTAAAGGAGTGCCATTAGAGCGATATATTTTCATTTTCAGTCCAAGTACTAAAATGTTTTATGCAGTTTGGGGGAAATATGCTGCCCAGTGGACTTTCCTTACTGAAATAAATAATAGCAATACAGTTTTAACAGAAAACTGTAGTAGCTCTGGAAAACAAGGCATCTTTGATTATGGGGCTTCATTTAGCTGTGTGGTTTTGATTGATGTGAACAAACTTTCTTTAGTTAATAATTATATATGAAACTTGAAATAGTTACATATTTGTAGCCAATGCCATTTAGCTGTTTTACGTGATTTTTATATGTTATTAAAGTGGCTTTTAAAATACACTATTGTTCAAAAATTTGGGATCAGTACAATTTATGTTTTTGAAAGGATTCTTTGAATAGAAAGCACAAATGAATAGCAGGTTTGATCAATGTAATATGTCCTTGCTAAATAATTGTAAAAAAATAAAATAAAAAAAACCTTACTGACCCCAAACTTTTGAAAAGTATAAGTTAATATTACTGTATTTATATATTTCAGTAAACTGTACATTATTCTACTGGTGGAGCCAGATATCTTCATGGTGTATTAAAATGTATATTTTTTCATAATGGTGCTGTTTATTGTAGTGAACCTCAAGGAATGTTGTGAATGTATAAATGGTTGAATATCACAAACGCTGCTGTACTACTTTTTTTCCCGTTGGTTTTGTTATCAGCTTCCTTTCTAACATTGTTTGGTTTGTGTTTTTTGTTTCTTTGTTGTTGTCATTTTCTTAACAGCTCCAGGTAACAACCATTTAAAACCCTTGGCTATCTGTGAATGACCCCTCCTTACTAACCCCTAACTGAAGCTCAGTTTTTGCTAAGCTACCGAAGCCACTTATATGGTTGCCCTACTTTGAGAGGGTAATTGCAGAGGACCACACACACACCAGGAGTCCAATGATAGGTTTTTCCCTTCCAGCTCTGCACTGTATAGACCCTCTTAATGCCTGATGTCAAAAATGTGCCTTCCCTTTCTTTATTTTGGTGACATGTTAAACACTTCGCAAGCTCCGGCTTCAGCCGCGCCAGCGTCCTTTCGCTCGTGCCTAACAAATGAGCCATGACAGTAAGCCTCGGACCCAAAGAAACACACGTGGACAGAAGCGAGTTACCCATGGGCAAGAGTTTGAAACGTGTTCCTGTGCAGAAGCTGAAGACCCTGGATTTCAAACCGTGACATTTTCTAAATGCCCCCCTTTTCCACTTACCCACCTCCTCTTTCTCCTCGTTCAGCTGTGTTTGTTATACCGGTGCTGACAGGTGAGGCAGAAAAGGCCCAGCTCTGAAGAAGATGAGCAAATCCATGCTAATAGGCTTAATGTTTGGATTGTAAAAGTACGATATTAAGAAATACAACACTGCCTTGAATTTTTAATGAGCAGTGATGGGAACACATCTGTTGCGTGCCTTGAGCATTGCAGGTAATTGAAAAAGAGATAGATAAACCGTTTTGTGCACCAACGAGAGGCAAAAATGTGTTACATTTGTGGCAGGAGATGCTTGCAAATTGATTGACGTGTCACCACCATCATTACTCTTGATTTAAATAGGAGGGGCTGTTTGTGTCCGAATCGATCGCAGCTTGTTTTATGGCCTACATGGTTCCCTTCTTGGTATACTCTGAGAGTTCATTGAAAATGTCGTCAAAAGTTGAGATGCACCACCTTGGATTCTGGGTTCCATGTGTAATCATTCACATCCAGCGCAGTCATTTGGAAAGGAAATAACAATGATGTTGGGTGCCATGTGAGGGAACAGTGAGGTCATAAAGCAGGCATCCATCATGAAATTGATTATTCCTCTAAAGGAGGGAGACTCTGTTTTTTATGTTTGTTGTTTGCCCTCCTAGTGGAACTGTAAAAGGGAGAGGTGGCATTGATTTGTCGTTAACATGCTTTTGCAGATCAAATTTACTTTACAAACCAAGGAGACTAACTGCTTTTCAGTCAGTGGTATAATCAAGGGTTCATAATAAGATGTATAGGGTTAATAATACCTGGAGGGAGCTACACTACCAAAAGTTTGTTTTTTTAGAAAGAAATTATTACTTGTATTTAGAAAGGATGCATTGAAAGTAAAGAGACTTATAATGTTACAAAAGTTTTCTATTTCAAATAAACGCTTTCTATTTATGAAAAATACATATAAAAGAACAGTTATTTTACATATGGCACATTATTACTGTTTTTTTTTTTTTTTTTTTTTTTTTTTTATCAGGTAGCCATGCTAACCAGCTATCTCTTGACCTTTTGGGCATGATTGGATCTATTTGTTTTTTTCTGTTTTTTCTGCT